CTGCAAATAAGAAATGGTTTTGTTTGACGAATCTGGGCTACAATTCTCCCCATGGTAAAATGTCAATATATATAACCGTGCGATAAAATTATTTTTTTTCAATAATTGCAGGAAAAATCCGGCTGGTTATAAAAAATAACTTAAACAAGTTAAAAAAATCATTCGCTTTCCCCGACTATTCAAATATATTTTGACTTCTGTTATGAGTATTTAAATTATAGACCTTCTACGGCGTAGGTTCCAAAGGAATGGAGTCTCTCCACCCTAGAAACTACAATAAAAACTATAGTATGCATTTATAAAACCACCACCAGATCTCAACACCATATACTAACAGTGACCTCAATATCAAATTTCAGAATTCCACATCTATAAATTCACTCAATACTAAATTTAGTAACACTTAGTACTTTTCGTACAAATATAGAACACCTTTCCAAACCACCGCCGAATCTCAAACACATATACCATTAGTAGTCGAAATATCAAATTTCAAAATTTTATCTCTATCCCTTCACCCAATAAAAAATATAATACCATTTAGTACTTTTCGTACAATCACTGTACACATTTTCAAAACAATCTCCTTATCTCAACCTCAGATACCAAGGATGACCTCAATATCAAACATCCGGAATAGTATAGTATAGTAACATTCATATAAATTTGCAGGATTTTAGCTGTTTTCCTTCACCCAATACCAAATTTTCTCAAATTTAGTACTTTTTGTATAATTATAGTACACATTTACAAAACCACCTTCATATCTTAATTCTAGATACCAACAGACATACATACTTTACCCAATGCTAAGTTTAGTACCATTTAGCACTGTTCGTACAAATACGCATTTCCAAACCACCGCCAAATCTCAACCACATACACCATCAGTAATCTAAATATTAAATTTCAAGATTGTATATCTATCTCTTCACCCAATACCAAATATAGTACTATTCCGAAATTTTTGTAAAATTATTTGCGAAACCACCTCAATATTTCCAGGCTACACATCAGCAGGGACTCCACTTTTACTTTTCAGGCACAATCTGCTCACCGAATACCAAGCCCGAAACCATATCTTTATACAATTATATCGCCATCATCAACCGGGCCGAACTTTGAATAACCCCCCAATCGGAACGAATTTTGAAATTAAAAAAATACCGTTAAAAATCTTAAAATTACCGGATATAGCCGTTATATTGGGGTCTATACGAAGGCCTTGTCATAAAAAAATCGGTGAATAAGGCAGCTAAAATCATAAAAGTACCGAATATAGGGAGGTTCCGATGAAGCGGAATATCGCTGAATATTGTAATATCGCTGAATATTGTACCTAAATTAATTAAAATACCCAATATTGGGAGGTACTGATATATGGGGCCTATACGAAAACCTGGACCTGCATACACCATTTTCTGTCTTAGACTGTAGTTCCCTTTCCGAACTCTTAATACGAAATTTGAAACAGCTCCGCTGAATAATGTCGCTAAAATCATCAAAATACCGAATATTGGGAGGCACCGTTGTATGGAGGCTGTACGAGGCCTGCTTACTCAATTTTTTGTCATAGGCTGTAGTACCCATTACGAACTCTGAATACGAAATTTAAAACAACTCCCGCGAATAATATCCCTAATATCGTCAAAACATAGAATATTGGGGGGGGGGGTGTGCGTTGGTTATGGGCTATACGATATCGTGGACTTATATAGGCATTTCTTTTCCAGGGGGTAAAGTGCATAGAAAAAACTTCCAGTATGCATTTTTAGACAATTCCATCGAAAAATTTAGTTAAAATCATCAAAATACCGAATAAAGGGAGGTACCGTTATGTGGGGGATATAATAGAGGTAAAGTATTCAAAAGGAACTCCTTGTGTGGATTTTCAAAAAATTTCATTGAAAAATTTGGCTACAATCATAAAAATATCGAATATCGGAGGGTACCGTTATATGGGAGCTATGAAATATCGTGGGCCGATATAGCCCATCTTCGAACGTGACCGGCCTGCAAACAGAAAAGACTGATCTGTATAAAATTTTAGCTTCCTATCTTTATTCGTGTTAACCCTAACGTGATTACAACAAACGAACGGACAGACGGACGGATGGATATATCAAGGATATATATACTTTGTTATGTCTAAAATTATATAATTATAATTTTATAAAAAAACTAACTAGCATCCTTGGGGAACTATTTAAACATATTTCTATGGCATTCCTAACTTCTCAGATATTTTCAAAATTTCATACAAATGCATCCTTTTTGTGTTTTGAATTAAAATAAATTATAACTTATTTGTTTAACAACTTTTTCACTCCTCTCTTCATTAGGTTTCATTCACCTTTTATTAACTAATTAATGGTTAAAGTACTTTGTAATGTAATTAAATAAAATACGTTTTGTTTTTGTTTCACATTCATTAGGAATACATTCGGGATTTCATTTGTGTAATTACTTCAATTAACTAACACACCCGTAAAATAAATTATTGGGGGGCAATTTCATATACTACAGCAACAAATTTTTAAGTTTGAAAAAGTCTTTCAATGAAGATATACTCCCTACTACCCTCTAATATATAAAGCAATATATACAGGGTGAGATGAAAAAACAGCATTTAACTTCAGACAGCTGACATTTCTACGACACTCGTCCGACAGCTGTTAAAATTATTCCACTGACAGCTCATTATATTGTTTACAAGCGTACAAAAGCATTATGGTGAGAATTTACCAGAAAAAAAGTTATTCGTGATGGAATTCAAGCGTGATAGTGTAATTTCTTTACATTTGGCTGGAAAACCACATGTGGCTATCGTTAAAGCTCTCCAGCATTAAAAAGTGAATAAATCTTTTGTGTCTCGTACCATCGCTCGTTACCATGGTAGCGTAGCCCGGCGTCAGTGAAGTCGACGGAAGAAAACACCAACATCAACAGAAATGGTTGGAAAAGTAAAGAAGCGGCTTGATCGAAACCCGCGCCGCAGTAGCCGAAAAATGGCTCGTGAGCTCAACATATCGCAACATTCCTTTTGGTAAATATTGAAAAATGAGCTCGGGGTAAAGCCATTGAAATTCAAGAAGAAGTGCAAAAGTAAGAAAATAGACTCAGAAGAGCTAAAGAGTTGCTTCGTGCAACTGCCGAATTTGGTTTTTTGGTAGATTAGTTGAAAATGTGCAACTTCGATTGGCCACAAGAACTCAAGCGCCGGCCATGGTGATGGTGTGGGCTGCCATAACAGCCAATGGTCGCTCTCCGCTCGTATTAATCGACCGTGACTTCAGAATAAATGCCGTATATTATCGCGAAAATATTCTGGAGGGTGTATTAAAGCCTTGGGCACCCAAACATTTTGACCGCAGACCTTGGACACAGGACTCATCCATCGCACTCAGCACGTCCAGCGCACAATGACCACTAAAATCTCCTAATACCAATCCGTAGGACTATTGCATCTGGAGTATTTTGTAGAGCAAGGTTGGCACTAAAAAATACCAAAGTGTCGATCACCTCAAGTAAGCGCTTCGCCTGGAATGGGTCAAAATTCCGCGGAGTAACATTCGGAAAGCGTGTGACGGTTTAATTGGCAGTTTGAAGGCCATAATTCGTGCCAATGTTGACCAATTCTTACAAATCTAAACTTATTCTAAAATTTGATGCTATTTCCGACATTTTTTGCTTTCATTAAATAATTAAAAAAAAATGTAAAAATTATGGCGTTTGACTTTGTTGAAGTTTTTTATCTCACCCTGTATATTTTTAATTTGGTGGATTTCCGAAACTACTAGTGGAAATAGGGCATAAAATCTACACTCTTAGTTCCTTAAAGGATTTACAACAAACAACAAAAAGAACAATCCCTAGAACAATGAAGGACATTGCGAAAGAAGAACAAAGACAATTCAATTTCATACAAAAGTCTTCCACAATGCCCCACATCAAGTAAATGTGAAGTATTTATCCGGAATATAAACAACATCAAGGGTTCATGGCCGAAGAAAGAAGAAAAGGAAACGAAAAAAGTGAGGAGACAAGAAAACAAATGACAAGTGACCAGAGCCATTTTGAGTTGCACTACGTCTTCTGTGATATTTTCTTGACATAATCCTCTAAAGCAGTGACTTACTTGTTTTTGGAAAATCTTCATTAATTTTCTTTGTTTTTGTTAGCCATTTCAATTTTTTTGTCACCTCCCTGCTCTATTTAGAAGGGTTGTCAAAATGATTCTTGTTATGTCAGAAACTATATTTTAAACATATGGATATGCAAGTGAAATAGTAAAGGACTATACTTTCCTTGGGGATCTGTGCAAAATGTCACTATTCTCTGGAATTTAAAATCATTGCAAATAAATTAAATAAATAAATTGATTAAAATCTGAGAAACTTATGAAAAGAAAGACAAACATTCTCTTCAAAGCGATTTCCTTATATTTTAGAGAAATGTATTTTTATTTTAAATTTTTAAAAATATGGATTTCAACCTAATTCAAAACCTGAAAATACCACGTTTGAAAAAATTGAGACACAGAGATTACTATGTAGGTATTTGTTGGGAAAAGATAAATGTCCACGTTTTTATACCCTCAGCCTCAGAGGATATATGTCATTTGATACGGCCAAAACTTGTTTTTGTCGAAATATCGAGTTTAGAACCTAGATCTCTTTGGACCAAATCCGTTTCAGGACATTTGGAGTCGATCTTGAGGCGTCGTTCGTCTGTTTGGTTGGTGCGCACGATAACTCTTGATATGAGTATCCGATTTAGTTCAAACTTGGTACATTTAAATATTATTATCAAACATAGAACAAGTTAGGAGATGGTTGAAATCGGTCTATATCTGCTTGGTCGAAATTAACCAAAAAACATTTGTCTGTACATAAAGGTACATAAATGATCATCCGATTTTGCTACATCTTGGCAAATCCTAATATTTCAGTTAGTGCTAGTTCAGTTACGAAAATGAACAATATCGGTCCACTACATCA